AGTGTGTATGACGAAAGACAAAAGTCATATTTACAGCGCCATTAATTTATTTGAACTTTACTGTCGACGACTCATTAAAAACTGTCAAGCTAAAAAATATTTAGCAAAAAATTTTTAAGTATTTGTCATTTCAGCGTAAATTTACATCGCATTTTGTCCTCATTGTCAATTAATTATGGTCATTGTGGCTTTCGCGCAAGATGGAGCTGTATAAACTCTGATAGATCAATTCCAACACGAATCTTCAGTTTTTGCCGGAAGACTTCTTCGAGGCCAGAGCAAGTTTTCAAATTAAAATTACGCGACAGGTTGATGAAAGTCCTTTCTTAATTAGAGAACTAAATTTTAAAACCACAAACAAGTGCCACATTTCTTACGGCAAAATTGTGGCTTTCGCGCAAGAAAAAAAAGATCAATGCAGTTTTCCCACAAACAAGTGCCTGTAAAAATTTACTCAGCCCCTATTAATCTTCAGGAAGTCACATACACCGTAAGTGGAACCCTTTTGATTGATACAAACATAAGTATGTTTAGAGCTTTCTGTGCAGCTTATGCAATGGGAGGCTTGACGTTTCTTGAGGCAGGCAATATTTCCTTAGACAAACACTGGATTATTTGAGAACTTGGGGGAAATCTTCTTAAACAACGTTAAAAGCTACTTTAGAACGAATATGATGTTTCATAATGATAATTTGTCAATGTTATCAGCTGAAAATTACGCTTATTGCAGAATTTGAGATCGTAATGACATTTGCGTCGTTTTTCCTAAAAAAAAATATTTGAACTTTGCCATGGTTCAGTGACATTGTAAAGGGAACATGGAAGTTCTTATCTAAAATAAATAATCGTTTTGGCTTCAAACAGTGTGTTTCTATTGCAACCATAGCGAAAGAAAGCACTTTTACCTCAAAAGCAGTGAGGGACCAAAAAGCTTTGCAACTTGAGAGGTAAGAGTTGATCAAATCGAAAACACAGATGGATGATTTGAGTGATACTATCCCTGGAAAATTCATATTCTTTACCAAAAGGATGTCTACCTGTGGCTCTTTTAATTCTGCATACCACAATGAAAAGGTTGGCTTCACTCTCAAATAAGGGTATAGTGCATTTTTGAAAGCAGAGTAACTAGGTCTTTCTAAACGAAAGCAGATTAAGCAGACAATCAATACACAAGGTTTACTAACTAAACCTTAACATGATTATTTCTATGTAACACGAAAGCAGTGGCACACAATATGTTGCTCTGCTTACCTCAAAAATTTCCCCAAGGTCGCCAAAGTTTCAAACCCGTCCAAAATGCTGAATGTGTTAATAACAACTTAACAACAACACCCAATTTACCTTTTGTTAAAAGTAAAATGCAAGGTTCAGGATGAAGGCTAAAACATACACGATGCTTCGCAAAATAAATCTTGCAAGCTTCACCACAATATTCTGTATTTCTAGCATCTGCATTTCCTGGATTTTTAATTCCATATTCTACATATGCACCTACTTACTTCGTTTCAAGGCGTCAATGAAACACATTTAACGAAAGATGAATCGTAATCGGTGGAAAATAAGTCTACATGAGCTTTATTCGAACAGTTTGGTCGATACATAATTCCAGAAATAGCACGATTTAATTTATCGCCTGCCTAAATAAAGTATTCTCTATGTCGTTGAAAACGCGAATAAGACCAGTCGACAGTTAAAAGGCAACTATCTGATAACAACTCGAATAGTAAACAGGGCCTTTGGAGCGACGCTATATGAGTTTCTTGAAAAATCCACGCCTCTTTGGTGAGGCAAACCCCATGTCCTGAAAGCTGTCTTCGAAACAATTTCACATTTCTCTACTGGAACAATATCTTGAATTCATGTAAAGTTCTTTGCTTCAGATACAAAACAAAAATGTAACGAATGTTGAAAAAAGGTCGTCCGTACATAAGTTCTAAAGATTGTTTGACAGTTTTCAATTTCAGAAATTAAACCATTCGTGCATCGAGACTAATACAATTGAAATTTAAACAATAGAGACTTGAGGATTAGAAATGTGGATCACACAGTTTTTCCAAAGTTTTATTTCTTTAATTAAATTGAAGTTCGAAATTATTGAGCTATTTTTCAGTGGCATATCACACCTAAAAGAACTTAAACAATTTTAAGTGTACCTTGAAAATTCGAGCAACTTCCATCGAAGAATCAGGCAAGCTGGAATGATAAGAGATAATTTATTAAAGACGTCACTTGGTGTCTCATAGAAAGACGTAAACAGCATCTGATATGTGCCTTGTCTGTCATCTTGAAAAAAACATTTAATATGTCGAATAAAGGGGAAAAATGTATTGTTTATTCTGGTAAAAGTGCGCCTAAACTATGTTTTAAAACTCCTACAGAGTGCGTGAAGCCGTCTAAATGTTTCATCGTGCACAAATTGTCGGGATGATTTTACCATGCGGACGGAAAACGTTGTGCTCGTTGTCTAACTTGTGGTGACGAAGCCCTAGGAAGAAGAGCGAACGATTTTACAAGAATAGGAACTTTTCAAATAATTTCGAGTCATTATTACGTGTTGATTTAGCGTTGCTTGAGACAAGACAGAAGACAATTGCAAGAACTATGAGTAATATTAAAAGGAAAAAAATTGACATTTCTGCAGCGATAATAATTTATTTAAACTACATTGTCGACGACTCATTAAAAACTATCAAGCTAAACAATATTTAGCGATCGATTTTAAATATATGGCGGAACAATGCAAATTTACACCGCATTTCGTTTGATCTGTTTGTCCTCACTGTCAACTTGAATTTGTATTGTAGCTCTGAAGCCTTTGAGGTTCGAGCAAATCGTTTGTATTGCGTGTGTTTGACGTCTGTGAATTATGGCATTGTGGCTTTCCCGCAAAATGGAGCTGTGTAAACTTTGATAGATATATTCTTACACGAATCGCCAGTATTTGCTGGAAGACTTCCTCGAGGCCAGAGCAAGTTTTCAAGCTAAAATTAGGCGTCAGGTTGATGAAAGTCCTTTCTTAATTAAAGACCTAACTTTAAAAACCTCAAACAAGTGCAATAGTTCTTAAAGCAAAAAGGGAAAAAAATGTAGTTTTCCCTGCCCGTACAAATTTACTCAGCCCCTACTTATCTTCAGGAAGTTGCATACACCGTAAGTGGGACCCTTTTGATTGATACAAACCTAAGAGTGTCGTTGTATGTTTAGAGCTTTGCGTATAGATTACGCAATTGAAGGCTTGACGTTTCTTGAGGCTGGCAATATTTCCTTGTCAAAGACATTCTTCTCTTATTAGTTTTTCATTAGCGATCCTTTATTAGCACACGGTGGAGTTTCCTTAGATACACACTGGATTATTTGAGAACTTAAAGGAAATCTTCTTAAACAACGTTTAAAAGCTACTTTAGACCGAATTTGATGTTTGATGGTGATAATTTTTCAAAGAAACCTGGTGAAAATTACGTTCATTGAAAAATTTAAGATCGTGATGACATTTGCGTAGTTTTTCCTAAACAAATATTTGATCTTTGCCATGGTTCAGTGACATTGTAGAAGGAACAAGGAAGTTCTTATCTAAAGTTAATCATCGTTTTGGCTTGAAACCAGGTGTTTCTATGGTAATCATAGCTACCATATTGTTATAAAAGAAAGCACTTTTACCTCAAAAGTAGTGAAGACCAAAGAGCTTTGCATCTTGAGAGGTAAGACTTGATTATATCGAAAACACCGATGGAAGATTTGAGTAATACTATCCCTGGAAAATTTATATTCTTTACGAAAAAGATTTGCATATCAAAGGAAAAGGTTGGCTTCACTCCCAAAGAAGGGTATGGTGCGATTTTAAAAGAAAATTATCTTGAGGTCTTTTTCAACGAAAGCAGATTATCAATGCTCGAGGTTTACTAACTGAACCTTTACATGATTACTTCCATGCACCACAAAAGTTCTGGTAAATAATATATTGCTCTGTTTATCTAAAAAATTATCAAAAGGTCGCTAAGTTTGAACCCCGTCCAAAATGTTGAATGTGTTACGAACAACGTAGAAAGGATTATTTATCAGATATAGTTTGGAAGCTTTATATTTGAATCTTTCTTACCCTTTGGGTTACTGGACTTTGTAGATAAATAAAGGGTTTCAACAATCTTCGGGATTTTTATTTCATAACTGAATGAGGATAATCAGCAGCTTATAAATGTTAATTAGCCAACTTGTTAAAGATTGTATTTTTTTCTCGCTCATAATGAGACTATGTTATTTCATCTGAAGTTTTTGTCGAGTTTGAGTCGTTGTCACTTTACATTTGGAACCAATATTTCGAAATGAAGATTTTTAATGCTTGAACATTCGTTCTTCTATGGGGGCGTAAAGTGATCAGGCCTATCAGGAGGACATTTCAAAATACCTTAAGCAGATCAAAGTTATCATTCCACAGAAACTAAAGGAGCCTTCAAAATTAAAGTTTAATGTTAAGAGTTGTGCTGATCTTCCTTGACGATTGGCATCCTATCGAGCCTTGTGCAAATTGTTTACTCACATCATGAACTAGAAAGTGCCTGAACGAATTTACAGGCAAGGTTTTAATGTACGTGTAGTATTATTGCTATATGGCTTCATCTGGTATCAAACAAGTTTTGTTGAGGGGAAACTCGTCTTTTTTCTTTCTATGATCCTATTCTCAATATTTTCAGATTCAGCACAAGCAAAGAAGTATGTGGTGGCTGTTCCGCCATTTAAGATTCGTCCTTTTCGCTTCTACCATGGAGTTTGTCGCAGCTAATGATCAATGTAGGACAGAAGTAAACATAGAAGGAATGGCTCTTGGGAGTTCTGTCTTCAAAAGATGTTCACTGGCGGCTCCTCACCTTTGCGATGTCAAATGTAGACAAGAGATTACGTGCCAAAGCTATAACTACAATCGAAAATACCAAATATGTGAACTAAATAACCGCACTAAGGAGGCGAGACCAGAGAATTTCCTCTCAGCACCCGCGTGGTTTTACATGCGGCGATCGAACGGCAGAGGTAAGAAATCAAAAGTCTTTCCATCAATGTGATTTCTGTTTCTCTTAAATCTTCTCCATCCTCAACCTGTCACTTTCTCACCTGGAAGAGCTAAGAATAGGAAGTGAATGTAAAACATATCTTTACTTCAGCTCCCTTAGGTTCTATCCCTGAATTACCGGCGCTGTCTTGTCACGAAATAAAGGCGAGTGAAGGTAAACACACCATAAGCGGCAAGTACTGGCTGGATCCAACTACGAAAGGAAAAGCAAAACTGATTTACTGCGATATGGTTAACGAAGGTAGGTCCTATAACTTTGCTCGAGTTATTTTATTTTGTAATGAGTTATCAGTATTAAGAAATTAATATAAATTATACTATTATTGATATCATTATCGTAATATTTGGTTTGGATCAGTTCTAGCGTGGATGCCTCTCTCAAGTTGCTCTAACTTAGTCACTTCTCTTTCAACATTTTAGATATGGATGAATGTAAATTTAACATCAGTGACTGCGACGTGAATGCAAACTGTACTAACACATATGGTTCTTACAAATGCACATGTAAAGTGGGATACACCGGCGATGGACGCTCGTGTTCAGGTAGTTTTAATATTTCCATATATAACTAATTTTTGTTAATCGTCTCATAATTTTATGCAGCGTTATCCATGCATGTTTATGCACAGAGTTACCACGATCTACATATTTTGTTACACATTTTGTAATGATAAGAGGAATTACATGACTATGGGTCATAAAAATGATAAAGTGAAAAATTTATCAATAGTTTCTCAGATATTTACGAGTGTAAAGGAAATCACTCTTGTCACGTGAATGCTACATGCACGAACACCAAAGGATCGCACGTTTGTACTTGTCACCCCGGATATAATGAAAATGGAAGCGACTGCACAGGTACTTAATGCGTTTCCTTTGTAACCATTCCCATAAGAAAGAAAAGCACTATCATCTTTGTAAGAGTTGTTTTACCAGCATACCTTGAATAAAAAGAGATGAGTGTAGGCCTGAAGACAATGGCGATAATGACACCATTGTATTCAATAAACATTCAGTGGTAAAAAAATCTCAACTGGCAAAGGAGACTTGATAGATAGGCTTACAGGACAGAACAACGGATTTGAACTTGGGGAAACCGAGAAAAAATCTGGTAAGTGGTAACGTGAAGTGCTCACGTCTAGAATCACAAGACAAAGACTTCTCAGCTTATGCCCCGCCGCTTTTCTTCAATTACATTTTTTTTTTGTTTATGTTTTTTCAGATATTGACGAGTGTAAAGGAAATCACTCTTGTAACGTGAATGCTGCATGCATGAACACCAAAGGATCGCACGTTTGTACTTGTCACCCCGGATATAATGAAAATGGAAGCGACTGCACAGGTACTTAATGCGTTTCCTTTGTAACCATTCCCATAAGAAAGAAAAGCACTATCATCTTTGTAAGAGTTGTTTTACCAGCATACCTTGTATAAAAAGAGATGAGTGTAGGCCTGAAGACAATGGCGATAATGACACCATTGTATTCAATAAACATTCAGTGGTAAAAAAATCTCAACTGGCAAAGGAGACTTGATGGATAGGCTTACAGGACAGAACAACGGATTTGAACTTGGGGAAACCGAGAAAAAATCTGGTAAGTGGTAACGTGAAGTGCTCACGTCTAGAACCACAAGACAAAGACTTCTCAGCTTATGCCCCGCCACTTTTCTTCAATTACATTTTTTTTTTGTTTATGTTTTTTCAGATATTGACGAGTGTAAAGGAAATCACTCTTGTCACGTGAATGCTGCATGCATGAACACCCTTGGATCACATGTATGTCAATGTCATGCTGGATATACTGGAAATGGAGAAAACTGCACAGGTAAATTTAATCTCTTCTCTACAATATAGTAGAATAGTCCTGCATGACACGTTCGACTACAGTGCCGCACCATCCAGTTGCGTTGCAAGACAATTAGACAATTTATCATTAAGAAACTCGGTCATTTTGTCCTCACGTGTTCACCTCCTCGAGTGTTCAAGTCGCTATCTTATGAGAATATAAACAGTTGTAATCTCTTGGTATCGAGTTGAACAAGAGAAGAAAAGTTACATGACCGCAAGCAACCATGTACTATTTTGATTATCATATAAACACAATAGGCCTTTACTGAGAATGAAAGGTGACTTTTTTAAAGAATGATATGATTGGTTTCACAATCCGCGAAAAAAAATCGTAAAGCGCGTCGGCGATAAGGGTCAAGATGAAAAAATGCGTTGAACCATTACAGAAACAGACAAAGGGCGTAACTTTCTTTTCACAAAATTCTCAGTTGATTTTTTCCTTACCGAAAGAAAAATATTTTCATGTAAAAGACAAAAATAGGCCTTTAGTAAGAAAAAAATAGAATTTTTTAAAGAATGAAATTAGAAGTTTCACATTCCGCGAAAAAAAAGTCTACCAAGGAGGCTAGCAAGGCTAATCTTTGACGATTGATATCCGACTACAGTTTGGAACGGTGTCTAGAGAGAGATTCCACTGCAGTGGAAGTTTTTGTTTAGTCTAAATTAATAATTAATTTGTCACAATGATAAATAACTTAATGACCTGTCACCTCGTAAAAGTTTAAAAAACGAATGTATCTCTCACTCGTAACCACTAACGTTGTAGAATTTTTCTTTTCTTTCCAATTTTTTTAGATATTGATGAATGCCAAAAAAATACTCACAATTGTCACCTGAACGCTACTTGTCAAAACACAAATGGATCCTTTGTGTGCACCTGTTTATTTGGATTTAACGGAGATGGACGGAACTGCACAGGTAAAGGCCTTTAGATTGTAATTGTCTCGTTATAACTTTATTTATTTGCTTGTGTTTTTATTTTTAATTGTTTGTGTAATTTGTACGTACCTTCTCTGTTTGTTTGTTTGTTTTAATAAAGTAGTTACCCTTGCCTTAATATTTTTGACCAATGGTAGAAAATGATCCCAATTGAAAGCAAGAGGACGAAATGCACTCAATGCTCAAAATAAGGAGATTTATACATGTATCATACTCCAAGAATCGTGATTGAAAGCCTGTTATTTCTCAGATATTGACGAATGTGCAAGAAATCTTTCTTGTCATGTGAATGCTAACTGTACCAACACAATTGGATCACATGTATGTACATGCCACACTGGATACACTGGAGATGGACAAACTTGCTCAGGTGATTTTGATAACTTTTCTTCAATGTCCAGAAAAGTCCTTTACGTCCGAAGAGAGGCAACCTCCATTGCTGCTCTTTCTATACATACAATCCCAGCTACTCAATGCGGGAGGTAATCTGAAACGTCTTTTTAGCTTAAATTATAAGGCCGGAAGTAGTCAAACATTTATCCTAAAATTCATCCCTCAATAAAAATTGTGGATTGTTTTGTTTTGTCTCACATCCTTTGAGACTAGATTTGCAGTATTTTGGATAGTTATTCATTATATCTTGATTCACCAAAACATTTTTCATCATAACATCAACTCTGGGTTGTGACGTGGTGCACTTGATCCCCATCAGACATTGACGAGTGTTCACAGATGAACATCTGCGATAAGAACGCCTCTTGCAGTAATACCCAGGGCTCCTACAGTTGCGCCTGTAATCCTAAATACATTGGGGATGGTCTGACTTGTAAAGGTTAGTCTCTTTTGATCCATGCCTTATATATTTTTTAGAGATGGTACTGGTTGAACTCGCTGTAAATAATGTTGATTGAATGGCTATTCTTGTTTGGCCATATAACAAATCACGTTAGTTTTTAGTACCTTTAGTTTGCTTGGAAACGTCCATCGACAAAAAAAAGGGGATAAAGAAAGATAAATTTGATTTTTTACATCATATTTTTGGACTTGAAGGCATTGTTTTTGTTCACCAGGAGATAAAATAATTTATTCTTGATGATGCATAAATGTTCTGCAAATGCAATTATATTGATGATGTCTCAATTAAACAGAATAGTCTGATTGGTTAAAATCGATGTTGACCGCAGTTACGATTTTCTCACTCTAACCTAATAAGGTGATTCCTCAGGAAAAAAAAAAGTCTAAAAAGTATAAAAAAAAGAAAAAGTATAAAAAGTATAAACATACAACATTTACCTTTGATAGAAATAGTAGAGATGGTAAGTTTTGAGCTGGATGAAGAATTAAAAAAGATGTTTTTTCGTCTCGTCACGAGCGTGGGATAAAGAAAAATTCTGAGTCCCCATGAGGAATCTTCTTCACCGAGCTCAAAACTTAACATCTCTACTATTTCTATCAAAAACATTACGCTATCGACATTGTTGATCCTAGCAGTATGCAGGACGCGTGTTATAAGAACTTCGTAATAGACCTCGCTCACCGAAGAGTCTTTGTGGCTCATTGGTAGAGCAGCGGAGCGCAAATCCTAAGGTTTGAGGTTCGATTCCTCATGGGGACCCAGAATTTTTCTTTATCCCACGCTCGTGCCCTGGGCAATTTTTGCGGGAGCACTTATTAACAAGTTTGATGGCCTTACATTCATCAACAACCTTTTTTTGTGGTCAGCAGTCGATGATTGCAGGGCTTTATGAAAAGCGATCACTGAGCGATCGCGCCATAGTCACGTATTGAAATTCTTGGAACATGGTATCTTTTAAGGGATTTTGTATTGAGGCTGTATGACAAACTCGGCTATTTTTTTTTGCAGCCATAATTCGAGAAAATCTCGACATGCGACCCTGGATTGAGAACAGTCATCTCTTTGCCATTCATTTATTAACCTGACACAGCTGATTGGTGATATCAAACACATGTAAAATATTATCGTAATATTATACGCGTGTTTAACAAGGATTTCCCGGCTCTTCTCAGGGCAGGAAATCGTTTTAAACCACCGCAGTTTATATAATAGCTTTTCTCCTTAAGCTTTCTTATAACGAAATATATAAAACATCGCATTAACCGAAATTCAACCTTTTAGCCGATCCGTGCTATAATTACAGAAACCTGAGCGATGCTGACAGAAAGAGCACTTACATCACACCTAACGGTGGAGAAAAATGTGACGGCTATTACTCATCTTTAATATTCGGGAAATGGTATCGTTTCGCGGGAGATGCAGGAACAAAAATGCCAACCCAATGCGTACCGGATAATAGATGTGGTGCGGTCTACTCAGGCTGGCTAAAAGGTGGTCACCCCACATTGGCAGATGGTGAGGTTTTCTCCAAGGTCTGCTTTACCAGAGGTGGAGATTGTTGCATGAAATCAAGGGACATAAAGGTGAAAGACTGCGGATCCTACTTTATATACAAACTACGAAAGGTACCTGGTTGTGCTCTGCGATACTGTGGCACAGACTGAATGCTATAAGCAAATCATTCTGCTCAACGAAAGGATTCACAAGTCGATTTAATTATTGGCACATGCACATAAATGTATAACATGGACTTTAAGAATTTCACATGATCCACTTTTTATGATTAGTGTTAAACATTGAATAGTTTGAACAGAAGAGTACCTTTGGGCCGCGTAGTTTGATCTTCCAAGTAAGAGTACTCCTGAGAAGTTGTGACTGAAGGTTGTCAGTGTTACTGATTGACGTTTCTATAATCTCGGCGGAAATCATCATCAGAGTCGACTGAACAATTCTTGTTTATCCGAGTATTAGAGGAGACTCCCCCCACCCTCAGCTAGAGTCAACAACTATGGGCATGAATGAGCTTCCAAATAATCTTATTATCATCTCTCTCTATTCCAAACAAACATCTTCAGTAAGTTTTAATCAAAACTTTGAGCATTGTATTTTGCTTATTACTAAACGTTTTGAACTCTTGATGTTTGCTCAGGTCGTTAGAAACTAAAGCAGCTTTTGATACCCGCGCCTTCTGTACATGAAGTTGTTATTCTGTCTGAAAGCCTTCCATGATGGGTCTCGGCAGTCCGTGATTATAAGCAAGTTGTTTACTATGTTCAGTCGTGCTTTCATTAGCATCATGATTTACAAGGATTTTTAAATCGTGTTCGGTGTGTTGTGGATAGAGAAATAGATAATTTCTAGAATTTTTAGTCACTATGACATCGATACTTAAACTTTCTGGTGACATATCACGGAAAACTAGAACATTCTAATGGGATATGTGGTTACGATCTATTTCTACCACAACAGTTGTGTTGTAAGCTTCGAATTCTGGAATGTTTTGAAGTACGTTATGACGGTATATAAGGACTCGGTCAGCTAGGAGTAATAATTTCTTTAGTCAGAAAAGACCGAATATCTAGGAAGCTCTACAAAAGATAGCTCAGTACTCAGTACTGTGATATACTTAAAAGATGGTGTATTTTGTGAAGATTCTCTCTCAGTAGAGAGCTAAGTTTTAGTCTGCAGTGGGGTTAAGTTTTTAAAGGACAATTATTGTATTGCC